AGAAATCACCCCCCAGGGGGGATGGCCACGCCACAATCCCTTCTCCTCCATTCTCCTCTTGGGATCTTGGGCACGCACGCACACGTGCCCAATGTGAGTTTTAGGCCACCGGGTCTGGGACTCGAACCGTGGTCGGCTACATGGGAGTTCAGCGACATAGCCATTACGCTAACTGCTGGTCCCCCCCCCTTTGACACTTCTAACAGACATCACTAGGGATCTTCCATGGAAATGCACACCTCTGTTTCCTCCAGACTTAAGAGCCAGCCATCCCACTTTAGGGTGTGATGGAGCTTCCCAGGGGAGTAGACACCTACAGTTACAATCACATCCGGCCACAGGAAATAGTGTTCATTTCTAAACCCTGCCTTCAGTACACTGAATGAGTTTTCAATGGGCTGAGCTCATCAGAGATTTTGGGTTTGTTGAGACTATGTGCCATGAGGTGGGGCCTAAGTCTTGTCCAGCATATGCCCTAGACTGTGCTAAATCCAGTGGGTCCCCTGGGTTAGGGTGGTGAGTCCCGATCTCAGGGGCCCTTTGCTACCTGTGACTCTTCTCTTTCTCCCTGGTTCTCTTCAGGAGCTTGAGCGTCTTAACCAGGTGCTGGAAGCTGAGAAGCAGCAGTTTGAGGAGGTGGTGCAGGAGCTGAGGATGGAGCAGGAGCAGATCAAGAGGTAGTGGTAGTTCTCTGGGAACAGGGGAGGTGGGAGTGCACTTGGGTCAGGGCATGCAAAGCCCATATCCTGGTCAGGCCTGGAGAGGCCTCTCCCTGGGAGATTCTGCTTGATGGCTCAGTTTGGGTCTATTTCACAATGGCCCAGGCCTTGAGTGTGGCAGAAGAAGCTGTAGCTTCCCCCACCAGTGGGTCAGTTTTGCCCACTGTAGCATGCAGCATGGTTGAGTGCAGACAGGCATCCCTCCAAACACCACGCCCCTTTGCCTCCATGAGAGCTTCTTACCCATTCAGACAAGAACAAGCTGGCCAAGAGGTGCGATTAGCCACCACCCTTGACACCCTCCCTTACTCCTGCACAGTCCTTTCGCGTTTTGGCTAATGATGTCATTTGGGATCTTCTCTCCCATGTACTATCTGCAAACCGACTTGTACATTGTAACCATCTACTGAGTTAGAATTTCTTAAAGTTAAGGCCAAGAGGGACCAGCAGGTGGCGTGGTGGTTAAGGCGTTGGACACTCCCACATGGCTGACCGGGGTTCGAGTCCTGGACCTGGTGGCTTGCTTTCTCACTTCCTTTCTCTCTCACTCTCACCCTCTGTCTCTCTCTGGTCAAATTAAAAAATCAACGAATGAATAAGTAAAAATAAAATAAATAATTATTAAAAAAAAAGTTAAGGCCAAGAAATCTACCTTTTTTCCCCCCTGGTTTTTGTCGTAGGGTATATGCATTCACTAGAGAGAGACAGAGAGAGACCGAGAGCAGGAAAGTGAAAATGAGAAACCACTCCCTGGGGGGATGACTATGCCACAGTGCTTTCTCTTCCATTCTCCTCTCAGGATTTTGGGCACATACATACGTCAGGCATGATTTTCAGGCTGCCATGTCCAGGACTCAAACTGCAGTCAGCCTTATGGGGGTCCAACACCTTAAACACCATGCCACTTGATGGCCCCAAAAGCTACCTTTTGGGAAAAGTACCCAGGTGGTTCTGCTGCAGCCTGACCAGGCATTTGGAGACTACTGCTCTGGGTAGTGTTGATGGTGGTGTTCATCATCGTCATTATTACTATTATCTTGGTCATCACTGAGGATGCAGAAACATTTTCCTTACAACAACCTAAACAGGAAGGTCAATTAGACATATTTAGGGAAGGAGAAACTTGGATGCTGTAGATAAGGAAATAGCCAAGCACCTACTCAGCTTCCAGAATTGTGCCAGACACGGAAAGAGAAGATGAACTCCCCTCCCTTTTAGGATCTTATGATCTGGTTGGGAAAGCCAGACTCACACCCAGGAAATATAAATACAATTAATATACAATCAGGTGCTAGAAGGCATCAGGCAGATTTCCTGTGTCAGAGGAATTAAGATGTATTCATGATCCTTGTGGGCTTGAAGGGCAAGCAAGATTTGGAATACTGAGTAGGAGAAAGGAAAGACATTCCAAGTAGCGGGGGGACCAGTGTAAACGTTGGAGGTGGCCACGGTGTCTTATTAATAAGGCAACGAGGAGTTTGTTACGCCATGCAGAGGCCTCGCCGTGTCCCCTGTCACAGGAGTGTGGGTTCTACCAGGCTCTATCCCGGGAAGACGGAGGGTGAGTTAGGACCCCTGTGTTTCCCCAGTGCTGCTCGGCCTGTGCAGTGGGCCTCCGTTTATCCCAACCAGCACATGTGCACCTGGAACAAGCGACTAACTCCATGTGGCTGACAGCTGCTGTCGGGGCCCAGCCATGCAGAGGGGCTGGCTACCCAAGGCTCCTTCCGAGCCATATTGAGAGGAGAGACAGAAGCACTTCTGTGTGAAGAGGAGGTTGGGAGGGTGGGCACTGGCATACCCAGCTCTCTGTCCCCACAGGGAACTAGAACTGACAGCAAGATGCCTCAAGGGTGTGGAACAAGAGAAAAAGGAACTGAGGCATTTCACAGAGTCCTTGCAGCAGACGCTGGAGGTGAGGGGCCGCGGGTGGGCTGGGTGACTGGGACACAGCCTGATCTGTGGGCCCCATGATACTGGCTTTTGTAAGAGCGTTTCCCCAGAGGGTTTCCCCAGAGCATTTCCCCAGAGGGTTATCTGCAAGGGGAGTGGGTGTGAAGGGGCACTGACATGAGGGTGGGCCTCTTCTCTATGGCTCATTGGGAACACCAGCTGCACACGAGCCTGAAAACAGGCACTGGTTGTTCTCAGACCCAAAAGGCAAGTCCAAGCTTGTCCTTGGTATGACCATAGCCTGAGGAAACCCACCTTGTTCAGTGCTTATATTTTTATATTTGGCAGATGGAGGATTGACTAGGTGAGCAGTGGGGCCACTCACCACTTCTTGTGGCTCACTCACTAGCTGCTCCCGGGTAAGACTGAGCATGAAGGGACATCAACTGCCAGTCACCTCCATCTGATACCACAGACACTGAGAGAGAGAGAAGGAGGTGGCACACGTCAAGGACAAGTGCAAACTCCTTAGCAGGGCATGCAAGTGCACACTCGGGCCCCAGTTTGTCCTCCCTTCCCACCCTACCTTCCCTCTGCCGCCCCTCCACACCCCTGCCCTGCTTCAGCCATGGAGCTCATGTGCCCCAAGGAAGTTAACTCTTGCGTCCTCCCTACCTTCACCCGTTCTGTCCCTTCAACACAGTGATTCTTTCCACCTCTTCTCAGCCTGGTGAAGGGCTGTTTGTCCTTCTGTGACTCAGCTCCAACAATTCTTAGTCAGGCTTCTCGGAGTCTTCTAGGCAGGTGTTTGCTCTGAGTTCTGGGTTCCTCCAGCATCTTGTATGTCTATTATGGGACTTGTCATGCCAGATTGTCTGTTTTTTTGTATTTTTTTTAAAAAAACTTTGCCTGAGGGCACATGTGCTCACTCAGGGAGAGAGAGAAGGAGAGAGAGAAAGTGAGACAAAAGCTCCCCCCGTGGGGGATGGCCACACAGCAATCCTTTCTTTGCCATCTCTCATTTTGGGATTTTGGGCATGCATGTGTGCCCAGCATGTCTTTCAAGTCACCAGGTACAGAACTCAGCCATGTAGTCGGCCACGTGGGATCCAGCTGTCTTTTTTTTTTTTTTAAGAGAGGTTTTTGCTGTAGGGTGTGCACGCTTGCTAGAGACAGCGAGAGACAGAGACAGAAAACGAGAAATCACCTTCCAGGGGGGATGGCCACACTGCAATCCCTTCTCCTCCATTCTCCTCTCAGGATTTTGGGCTTGCACATGCCCAGTGAGTTTTAAGCCATCAAGTCAAGGACTCGAACTGTGGTTGACTATATGGGAGTCCAGCGATGTAACCATTATGCCATATGTTGGCCTGGGATCCAGCTGACTTAACCACCATGTCCTTGGCTGGCTTTCCAGGTTGTACTTTTTATTGTTGTTGCTGTTTTGCTATAGGATGTGTGTACTCACCAGAGAGAAGGAAAATGAGAAATCACCCCCAAGGAGGATGGCCATGCCTCATTCCCTTCTCCTCCATGCTCCTCAGGTTTGGGGGCATGCATGCACATGCTCCTGGGTGATTTTCAAGTCTCTGGGTCTGGGACTCAAACAGTGGTCAGCCATGTGGGAGTCCAGTGCCTTAACCACCAGCCTGGTGCTGGCCACTGCGGGTTGTGTTTTCTAAGCTGTGAGCTCACTAGATTGTCTTGATGGGTCTTCTAAACCGAGCACTTGGAGTGCACCTGGCACGTGCTGTGTGGCCCATATATTTATGGAATCCTTGAATTGCCTTGAAAGCTGCATGGGTTTCTAGCCTCCCTTGACTGACTAGAGCTTCACGGTCTCTTAATTTGTTTATCATTCTTTGTTTCAATATCATGGGAGGTGGTTTCCTCGGATATTTTTGACTCCAAGATTTCTGTGTAGTGCATGATTCCAGTCTGATAAATGGGAGAACATTCGAATCTGCTCTTGGGATGGGCTCCTGTTGGGTACTTTTCCACATGAGTCCCATATATCTCCTCACTACACCCCTAGAGTAACAAGGGCCTAGAAGGTCATGGTGCCCTTGGGATTCTCTCTCTATTATTATTATTATTATTATTATTGGAGATTTTTGCCTATAGGGCCCATGTGCTCACTCAAGAGACAAAAAGAAAGGGAGAAATCATCCCCATCTCCCAGGGAGGATGGCCATGCCATAATACCTTCTCCTCCATTCTTTCAAGGATTTTGAGCATGTATGCACATGCACCTGGTGTGAGTTTAAGCCACTGTGTCCAGGACTCGAACTGTGGTCAGCAATGTGCGAGTCCAGAACCTTAACCACTATGCCACCTACTGGCCCCACTCTTGGGACTCTTAATAGGTGGTATCTTCACTGGAAGCCACACTGACCTCTCTTCCTTGCTGCAGGAAAAGCCTTGCCTGGTTGTGAGGTAGGAGATCTTGGCCTTTTACCTCAAGAGCAGAATGAAGACATTTCAGGAGTCCCTCATGGGGAAGCAAATTGAAAGGCGGGACAGGGCAGCCATGTAGGAGGGCCACCACTAGGCTTTCTCTCACCTCCCTCCCTCTGTACCAGGAACTCTCCATAGAGAAGAAGAAAACCCTGGAGATGCTGGAGGAGAATGAGAGCCAGCTACAGACACTGGCCGACCAGAGTGAGCAGCCGTCTCCCAGCGGGAGTCTCCACAGCAACCTCCGGCAGATCGAGGAGAAGATGCAGCAGCTCTTGGAGGAGAAGCTCCTGGCTGAGAAGCGGTGAGGGGCTGAGACTGCGTCTGTGATCTTTTTGGGGTCTGTGAATTCTCCCGAGCTGGACACCTTGACCCTTGGGTTCCTGTTGGCAGTGACCAGATGGGCCATTCACCTCCTTTTGCTTGGGACTCAGTTACCCCATCAGGCAAATGGGAAGAGAACCTTTCCTCCCTGAAGCTGACGGGAGAGCTCTCTCTTGCAATGGTGCAGCCACATGGAGGCTCAGTAATCTTGGTAGCAATGCCTCATGGCAGCTCCCTCTTACACATGAGAACCTGAGCCTCAGGGGGCTAATATAACTTTCTAGAAAGGCCTGGAACAGTCTTCTGGCTGCCCTAGGGCTCTCTTCACTGACCATGCACCCTTCCTGGGTGGCTGGCTCCAGTAAGCTCTGGGATTCAAAAGCCCCCAGGCCTCTAAGAAGAGTGACCCTCCCACTGCGAGCCTTTGGCAGGTAAGCGCTGAGTAAGAGGCTCTTCTGCCCTGCAGGATGAAGGAGAATGAGGAGCGCTCACGGGCCCTGGAGGAGGAGCGTGAGTTCTACTCCAGCCAGTCCCAGGCGCTGCAGAACTCGCTGCAGGAGCTGACGGCAGAGAAGCAGCAGGCGGAGCGGGAGCTCAAGGTGGGGCCCTGGTGGCGGGGCATGGCTTCTGCTCAGGGCCCTTCCCCTCACCTGGAGACTCTCCTCACATCCCTGCACTGTACTGGTAGCTACCCAGTCTGACCAGGTGGCCGGGTACAGAGGACCAGCAAGTGCTGCATCACTGATAGCCACCTGCTGGGTGCAGGGGCCAAGTTCAGGCCATTTGGTCTGGGGGTGAGACACGGAGCTGGCTGTGGTACCTTCTGTCCCAGCTCTCTGAGCCAGGGGTGACCCGGGAAGGCTTCCAAGGGAAATGGCAACTGCTCCCCTAGGCCTGACTGCCCTCTCACCTCCCTCTCCTCTCAGGCAGAGGTGAAGGTTCGCATGGACCTGGAGAGGCGTCTGCGAGAGGCAGAGGGGGCTTTGCGGAGCCTGGAACAAGGGCTCAACTCCAAAGTGCGGAATAAGGAAAAGGAGGAGAGGATGCGGGCTGACGTGAGCCACCTGAAAAGTAAGCCCTGGCCCTGGGGCCTGGCTCTCAGCCCCGGAGTTCAGCCCAGTTGGAGCCACGCCTGGAAGGGCCTGGAGCCCACACACCTGGCTTGGTGTGCTGAGGTGTCCCAGGGAGGCTGATGGGGTTCCTTCTCCAGACACCTGCTGGGGGGGGGGGCTCCTTGGCCTCCTTTCTTTGGGTTTCAGTGTGGGCTGGGGGCACAGTGGGAAGGCCTGGAGTTCTCTCCCCTTTTCAAATGCTCAGGGCTTGGATCTCTGTGGGCCAGCCCCTGAGATGGCTGCAGATGGAGGTTGGAGAGGCAAAGGATGCCCCTTTAGCAGGTGGCTGCGATCTCTCAAGGGATGAGGCCGATGTATTTCCCACTCAATCCCACCAGGGTCCTTGGGAGGAGAAGGATGGGCGGAGGGAGGATCGCAATCGAACTGCGCCCTCCCTGCCCCTGCCCCCTGCCCCCGCCCAGGGTTCTTTGAGGAGTGCATCCGGAACGCGGAGCTGGAGGCCAAGATGCCGGTCATCATGAAGAACTCGGTGTACATCCACAAGGCGGCCACGCGCCGCATCAAGAGCTGCCGCTTCCACCGGCGCCGGTCCAGCACCTCCTGGAACGACAGTGAGTGTGGCTGTCCATGCCCCGGTGGGGGAAATGGCACCAGGCCGTCAGTGAGAGGGTAAGGTGGGGAGCGAGCAGGACTGATCCAGCTCCGAGGCTGGACAGGGTGGCCTTGAACCTGGCCTTGGGCGAGCGGGGAGTTCCCAGAGCCGTGGGCTTCTCACAGCCCTATGGCGCCCGTCACAGGAAGGGCTGGGGGCGGCTCAGCAGTCCAGAATGGGGAGCAAGGGAGGCCGGTTGGCGCGGCAAGGCCGCTGGTGGAGGGAGGCCACCCCCAGCCTGGCCCTGCCTCCGCAGTGAAACCGTCCCAGTCCTTCATGACCTCCCAGCTGGAAGCCAACAACATGGAGGAGCTGAAGGAGGTGGCCAAGCGACTCAGCCGGGACCAGCGCTTCCGGGAGTCCATCTACCACATCATGGCCACCCAGCCCGGCGCCCCCTCGGCCCTTCCCCGGGGCGGAAAGTGATGGGTGCTCCTCCCAGGTCTTTCTGGACTACTGCTTCTGTCCACTCCAGGCTGAATCCTGCTTCTCCTGTGGGCCTGAGCTCCACCTGCGGGCCAGCCTCACCCTCAGAGGACAGGGACGCCACCTCCCTCCCCCACCTGGCCTGCCCTTGGGACCATACCAGGTCCTGCAGGCCCAGTTGGGTGCTTCCTCGGTGCCATGGTGAGGTGCCAAAGGGGCCTGGGGGCTGATTGGGAGTGGGTGGGAGAGGCCATCGTCCACTGGGCCATGATGCAGCCCTCTCTGCACCACTGTAGGGACCTCCTGGATTCTGTTGTCCTGCTCCTGTCCTCAAGTATAAAGGCCTCTCCTCCCCCCAGAGAGCCTCGCCCCCCACCTGGACGTTCCCTTCCCCTGGGGCTTCCTACCCATCATAGCCATCCCTCAGCAGAGACCCCACTTATAGCACATTGTGGGGTAGGCAAGGAAGGGACCCAGGACAGCAACTCCGGGCTCATGGCACACCACCCGCTCGCCACAGTACCACCCTCCCGAGTCCCCTCCTCCTCAGGCCAGCTCACCCACACATAGCCTCAGGGTTTATGAGGGTGGTCTGATCCCTCCATGTCCCTCCTGCGTGTGTACCTAGTGCCCAATGCTGGGCTCTCCCAGAGGACTCATAGCAAGCTCAGGAGTGGAAGAAAGTGGCCCTGGTTCCTACACTCTCTGCTCCTGGCCAGGCACAGGGACGGCCCTGCTGGTCATGAGATCTCAGACCAGCCCTCCCAGCTGCCCCCCTCCGGTGGCCTTGCAGACTTCTCTCCCTGAAGAAGCTTCATCCAGTGAAGCAATGTGACCATGAACCCTGGAAGCTGGTACCCTGGACCTGGGACAAGGCCAGAAGCCAGTGGTTGGCTTGGTGTCACTAGGGTTGCAGCTGAAGCATGAATCTGTAGCTTTTGTGGAAGACTACCATCTTCCAGGGGGCTGAAGGCTGTGGGTGTGCCCCTTACCCATGGACAGACACTGCAGGTCTACCCTGAGAAACTGCCTGAGTCTGTTGGTCTCTCCAGAAAAGGGGTCCCCCTGGGATAAGGACGCCCTGGGACACTGCTGGTATTAAAGGTGCTTCTCTGCTGTTCTGAGAGATGGACAGACGGCTCAGGGCAGGTCCCAGCGGGGGTGCAGGCCCCTGGGAGCCCGCAGTCTATTCTGTGGGAAGAGGAGCATCGGCCTCAGGAACGTAGGCTGCTGCTGGCCTAGTCAAGCCAGGCCGGCTGCCCTGCGTTTGCTCAGGGCCGCCTGATGAAACTAATCTTCATGATCCCGTCTCAGCAGTGGCCCGATTCCGTCAGTCTCTGCAGAATCTAGGTGGAGCTAGGGGTGGGAGGCTTTGGAATCTATGCTTTTGAAAGGGCTGAATCTAAATGTAAAAGCTTTAAATGTGTATAAGCTGCATAAACCTGGACCTTGTTTATCTAATATGTATGTATGATAAACTTTAAAAGAAGGGGAGAGTTCTAAAACCAATATTCAATCACCTTTTTGTTTTTAAGGAATTCAATTAATAATGACTTGCTCCTGGAGAAAGATCTTTTGAAACTTTTCAAATGCATTTGATTTTCCTGGGCAAACTATTAACCAGAAAGTTTTTCCATGCACATCCACATCCATGCCAATCACTAGTTCCATTCCTCCTATTCTCACCCTGTACTTTCCATGCCTCAGGAAAATCTGGGTTATCTTCGACCCACTGATCAATCTATAAGTACTTATTTATTAAGAGCTTACCATATACCAAGTACTTTTTACATAGAAAAAGAGTGGCATCTCTCTCTATAAATACATGGGGATTAAAATTGCTTACTGGAAATACATTGATCTGATTTTTTAAAAATTTTTGCTTAAATAACCAAAGTTATTCTTTGGCCAATTAAATGGGTTTCTGGCAGCATCGCCTCCCAGCAAGCTGTGGTCTTTCCCAGAGAGATGTTGTCCCCTGCAGGCCAGATATGGAACTACAGACACACCTGCCTGCTCGCTAATACACACTTGTTTCTCACTTGAGGAAGTACCCCCCACTGCTATGCCTCCTGTACGTGGCTTCTTAATAATTAACTGAAAAGTCTGTTCCCACCCCGAGGTCCTAGTTGTCCCTGTCTAACAAGGACTATCAGCTGGCTTTTCTTCTGATTTGCACACAGAGCAAAGGGACAGAGCTAACTCCCGCTGGGAATCGGCTCAGGGATTCAAAAGATATTTAGTTTTATGACCTGCTAGGTTCAGGATCACACAGAAAACTGACGTTCTACCTGCTCCTAGGAGGAGAGGTTTATGCTTTTGTTTAGTAACCGTATAAAGGAGAGCTGGTAATGAGAAATGATGACTGGATTCTCCCATTTCATTTCTCGCTGAGGGTGAGTGACCGGCACCATGCCAGGACTTTCCTGGTTGATGCTGTCTCACAGCGCAATTAATGGCTTCCCCTTTCCCTAACACAAGTGCCCCAGCACAGATTTTAATTCTGTGTAATTCCGGGTATTTTTCCTCTGGTTATAACATTTTCTTCCAACGGTATGTTAATGGCAAGAGACCTGTGAGATACTCAGGTTCTGACCCTCAGCCCCTGGGAAAGATCCCCTGCCTCTTTTCACCTCTGGAAGGATGTAATTCTTGCCCCCTCATCCATTCCGTCCCACTCCAGCTCAGCATCACTCTGGAAACCTGTGCCTGAAGCCCCCATGGAGTGATGATAGTGGGATGGAAACCTGGGGCTCAGCGAGCAGCCCAGTGGTGTCAGATTTGAGCTAACTGGGAGGCAGCTGTTACACCCACCTGACAGCACAGCTGCCCTGGAGCCCCAGGAACACTGCAGTCAGCAAGCTCGGAGCTTCTCAGACCCCCAGGCCTCTCTAGGTCCCCCAAGGTCAGAATTCCTGTGACCTTGATCCCTGGGGGAAAGCGCCTGACTTCTCTTTCTTTGTCCCACCCCTGGTGAGCAAAGTGAAGGGTATCCTCAAAATTTTCTCTCTTAGAAAGTTCCACTCCCGGGGCCCAAAGCAACTGGGAGAACCTGGTCATTCAGACGCCCAGGTGGGTGAGCATGCCCAGGCTCATTCTGCCCTGCATACCTCACCTCCCCTTCCCTTCTCTGGATGGGTTTCCACTCATGGCTACCAACTCCTCTGACCCAGAAAGGAGCTCCACCACTCCACTCTGCCAGGTTAAAGGTATGGGGGAGGGGATTAGAAAACACTCCCAGCCCAGCAATCCTGGCAAATGATTTTTTGTTTTTGTTTTTCATTTTTGCTATAGGGCACATGGACTCACCAGAAAGAGGAGAAAAGTGAAAAAGCAGTCCCTGGGGGGATGTCCATGCCACAATTCCTCTTACATTTTCCTCTCAGGATGGCCATGCCACGATCCCTCCTCCATTCTCCTCTCAGGATTTTGGGCACACATGCATACTTGCCCAGTGTGTTTTTTCAAGCTGCTGGGTCCAGGACTCAAGCCATGTAGTTGACCATGTGGGACCCAACTACCTTATCCACGATGCTACTTGCTAGCTCATGGAATGGTTTTTTTTTTTTTTTTTTCCTGGAGAGGTTTTTGCTATAGGGGACGTGTGCTCGCCAGAGAGAGAGACAGTGAAAGAAAGCGAGAAATCACCACCCAGGGGGGATGGCCACGCCGCAATCCCTTCTCCTCCGTTCTCCTCTCAGGATCTTGGGCACGCACGCATGTACATGCACCTGGCGTGAGTTTTAAGCCACCGGGTCCGGGACGCGAACTGCGGTCGACTACATGGGAGTCCAGTGACATAGCCATTACACTAACTGCTGGTCCCTGGAATGGGGTTCTTAATAAACTAAATCTGCTTGTGGCAAACTCTACCTGCCACTGTCCCTGAATGTTTAAATGCAGTCTGTCATTCTGTGTCTCTGTGACTTGGCCTCTGGGTGAGACTTGGTGATCAGGCAGCGAAGTTGGAATGACTTGGTGCTGCTCAAAGGCAGGAGGCTCCACATCAGGGCCTCCAGGAGACACCCAGGAGGTGGCAGAGCCACTCGTGTTTGGGGACTCGTAGTCTTTCTGCTCCCTGCCTTTCTTCCCCTGGAGGATCTGACACCTCCTCTGGGCTGAGTCCATCTATGAACAGAAAGTATGGCTCCTGGGCCTGGGAGTATCAGCAGAGACCTGCCGCCCTGCAGAGCGGTGACTGCTAAGACTGAGGGGAGGCCGTTGCCGCACCCTCCACCTGCTGCCGGGTGAGTGGGAAGGCTCTGATGGGAAGGGGCAGCCAGAGCAGAGTCTCCATCTCAGGAGGTGCTTGGAGCCCTGTGATTCGAAAGGTTTATGGCCTGGGAACTTGCAGCTCTGGAGTCAACAGAAAATGGGCAGCCATTGCTCCCAGTGACCAGGAACATACAGGTTCAGGACTCTCTGGCTTAGGTTGAACTCAGCGCTGTGCCTTTCTCAGAACTTTCCATGAAAATAGTTTAGCTTTGAGATGAGAACAGGAAAGACAACTCATTTATCACCCCAAGGAACAGGTAATAGTGACTAGGCACAGTCATTTGGGAGGCTTTCCCGGTAAAGGGAAGGAGTCCACTGTCCTGTCCACCCTGGTGTCTGAGACTGTCGGTCACATCACTTCCTTCCATCTTCATTCAGCCACTATTTATGGTGATTCTAATGTATGCAGTAAGCACCTACCATGCACCTAGCACTTCACTGTTTTGGAAAGTTTCTTTCTTCAGAGAGAGAAAGACAACACCCCTAACAGGGTCTCCATGCCATGATCCACCCCCAGCCTCAGCCACCCCCAGCCTCAGCCACCCCTGGTTCATGGGCACACACGAGCCTGGCATGTCCAGGGAGGTCTCTGGACTTGAATCCAGAACTTTCCTATGTGGACCAGCCTCACAGAGTGCCACATTTCATCACTGTGTCTCGGCCAGGCTCCTGTTTTGTTTTATTTTTAATTGTGCTAATATATACATAAAATTTTTATTTAAATTATTTCTAAGTGTCCAAAATGATGTGTGGATGTTACAGGGTATCTATTTTTTTTTAAATCTTTATTTATTTATTTGAATTTCGATCAGAGAGGGACAGAGTGAGAGAGAGCGAGAGAAAGGGAAAGTGAGAAAGCAAGCTGCCAGGTCAAGGATTTGAACCGTGCTTGGCCCATGTGGGAGTCCAGTGCCCTTAACCACCACATCACCTTCTGGTCCCCAGAATCTCTTTTTGTTCAATATATTCACATGGTTGTCCAACCAACCTCCAGAACCCTTTCATCTTGCAAAACTCCAAACTCTCTACCCATTAAACAATAATTCCCCATTCTCCGCTCCCCTCGCTCCTGGCAACCATTATTCTATTTCTGTCTCTATGAATTTGACCCCTTTAGGTATCTCGTCACATGTAAGTGGAACTACATCGCATGCTTCTCTTTGTGGCTGACTTATTTCACTTAGCATAATGTCCTCAAGGTTCATCCACATCGAGTCGCGCATCCGAATTTCCTTCCTTTTTCAAGCTGTATAATTTCCTGTCACTTAGTGTTTTTCCTAGAATTATTTTATTTACCTTCATTTATTTTATTTATTTTTATTTGAGCAGAGAGGGATAGAGTGAAAGAGAGAGCAAGAAAGAGAGGGAAAGTGAGAAAGCAAGGGACTAGGTCCGGGACTAGGACAGTAGTTGGCCATGTGAGAGTCCAGCACCTTTAACCACCACGCCACCTGCCACACCCCTGTCCCCTTTGTCACTTAGTTTTAAGAAAAGCTGACTGAAATTTTATTGTTCTAAGAAATTATTGTCCAATGGGGAGGGCCCTGTTGGGCTTAAAGGACAAGAGAATCAAGCTGAGGGGAAGTTGGGTCCCTTCCCACGTTCCAGGTTTCTCTCCAGAGTTAGCGCTGAGACCTTTGGTGCTCAGTTCTTCCTCTGCCCAGCAGATGGCAGCATGCCCTGAGCCAGCAAAGTCTGGTGGGAAAGGGATCTGGGGCTCTGGAGAAAGCAGGGCTTTGTGTCACTGTTGAGGGTCTGCCTTATTGTTGTAGACCCTCCCAATTGTTCTCCCATTCAGATGTGAAACAAAGGACTCTGCTTAATCCTCACTTACCGCGTTCATTCCATACCACACACTTTCACACTGATTTCTTTTTGTCCTTACAACATCCCTTTCCTTGATTTATAGAAAAAATAAAATCTACAGCTTGTAAATGGAAGTTTGATTATTTGTGCTCAAGATCAGTGTTCTTTCTAGCAACTCCTAAAAAAAATGTAAATTTTTAAAGTGGATATCCTCCATTCCTTCAAGAAATAAATATATTGAGCTCCTTTATGTTCTAGGCCCCAAGAATCTCTAATATTTTCTCTCATGAGCTCTTAAGGGATTGACTCAGCTGTTCTGTCACTGAGAGTCTCCTGAGAATTCTTTTATTTTGGAAATCTGGCTAGTCCAATGGATCAGGTTCCAAAGGTCAGAGTTCTCATTCTAAGGGCTTTGAAAAGTCTGTTTCCTGCTGCTTCCAATCATGTCCAGGCAGGCACATTCTTTATTTTTATTTTTATTTTTTTGAGACACTTATTCCTATAGGGTGCATATGCTCGCTGGAGAAAGAGAAGAAAAAAATGAGGAATCACCCCTCGAGGGGAATGACCATACCACAATCCCTTCTCCTCCATTCTCCTCTCAGGATTTTAGGCATGCATGTACATGAACCCGGCATGAGTTTTAACCCGCCAGGTCTGAGATTCGAACTATAGTTGACCATGTGGGAGTCCAGTGCCTTAACCACTATATCACTGCTGGTCCCAGGTGGGCACATTCTTGATCTTTCTTTGTCCCTTCCTCACGCT